GGACTCAAAGCTTGATAGCGTAGCGTGTAATCTCGACAAATCAGCTCTTGTCTTAACTACTAGCTCGCTTATCACACTAAACGAAACGAATGAGATGAATACATGTCATATATATAATTTACCGGGAGTTTTGAAAATCTATTTCCAAGCTAAAAATGAATTTTTGCATATAAGCAGAATTCATTAGCAACGTCAGCTCTACTCATATAGTTGTGGGAAAATTCTACTATCAGTCCTTCATCGCCTTAAACGAAATGGAGTGAATGCATCTCGTGCAAAAATGAATTTCCTAACTATACTGCAAGCGGACATTTGATGAAACTCGGCTCAGTTTATGCAAGGCTATCACCGATTCTGTAATTGCTTCAACTTATGTAAGGTAGAGGAAACGGTATCGTAAGCATCTGTACCAGCTGGAGCCTACATTTCCTCGGCTTTGATCCTGCAATATTTTCTGGCTTTTGTTTACACTCCATCGAACCTCTTTCCCTCTCCGATTAACCCCAAGTCTTGTCAACTGCACGACCAAACAAACGCAGTTAGTGGGAATGTTCGTATTCGAGGCCTGGGGAAGACTTCACCTCTGCCACGTTCCAGACTAGTTAGCCTCTTTTCCGATTGCCCACTTTACTAATCCTCTTCCTGAGAAGCTGTACCAAATGAGTCATATCGGCATACCTACAAAACAACATGCACTGGCGAACCGGCCAAGTGGGCGCATAATCACGCGCATGTACTCAGGCCTGAAGGTACAGGAAGCACCTGATTGATGGATGCAAGCCTTAATGCACGCCTGTAAAAATGGCCGTAGACTTGAAAGCGTACAGGCCAATGGATACGCACTATCTACACGTGTTTGGGGAGGCGGTGGGGCTGAGGAGCGGGTTTTCTCGTATGGCAGACAGAAACATGACCTTCATTCAGCAGGCTTGAATGCATCCCGGGGCTCTGCTGCCTGGCTGGGCAGTCGCGATTTCGTAACTTGAGAATCGGACTTCTTGGGCTCCTCCTCGGTCCGACGGCCTTGAACTGCATGCAACGAAGACGACAGACAGGAAGCATGCGGCCAGGCGATCCGGCCAACGGTCTGGGCCCTAGTTCCATGTGCATACAGGCACGCGTAGATGCCGCATGAGATAGAGACCACCGGGCCGGCTGCCAGTCCCCCCTCGTCTTCCCATTCAGTCCCGAATACACGAGGACCCATTCAACGTGAGAGAGCTTCGCGACCATGTTGCCGGTCGATCTGAGGCCGAGGATGCGGAGGGAATGAGGCAAATGGCAGAGGAAGTTTTGCAGATGTGCTGCGAGCCTGTGCGACGAGCCGAGCTTTCTGCGAGCGTTGTGACGAGGTCACTGTGAGCCGGCAAAGAGCGGATAGCAGAAAGTGAAGGCAAAAAAATGAGATGTAAAGTATACCGCTTGTATAATTGCAGTCTTTTGAAGTAGCGCCTCCCTTTAATTAGGGAGGAATACCTTCTTCTTCCTTGCGTGTTAGGGCTAGTTTCATTGGCTTTGTGCCTCTACCTCTTTTAGTACGGAGTTTCGCCGACTTCTTTCCATCAGGTTGGAACAGGACAGCTTCCTGTCCCTTTCCGCCTAGGGGCGCCTGGTGAGCAAAGCTTGCCGTTGTGCCGTCACATTAAGCGTTCAGTCGAGCATTAGCCGACTCAGGTCTCGGTGGAGCGACCCACCATCACTCCACTCACGAGTCTGCCTTTGGTGGGCTGAGTACAGAACTGGAAGCTGCTATCTCATGCTTGTTGTTACCCACCTGCAAGAGGGCCATAGATGGGCATTTCCGACAACTAACCGACTGGCGGGTGGGGCTTTTCTTTGGATGGCCGATTTTCACTAATTTTTCTCACTCATTCAGCCCGGATCAGTCAGGCTAGAACGCTGAAAGGATTCAGCCGCCCACAGAGGTTTTCCGTCTAATGACCTTTGTTGTTGCTGTAGTTGGTCTGTTAGCAGAATCCACCCAACCCCCCAGTGGACCAAGGGCGAGCTAGTGATTTCAGTCCAGTCGTCATTCTCTGTGAAGAACCCTCGGCAAGAGTATTATTATTTATGAGAAATGTACTATCCCTACTCTCGGCGAACTCGAGCAACCCTTCAGTAAAGCGTTTTGTGAAGAAATTCCGAAACAATTCACTTTGGTTGTGCCGCCCTTTACAAAGTGAGAAATTGCATACTAGGCTACATTTAGAGCGGAAGTAGAGTTTCGAGGCTACCAGTAAATCAGTAATATCAGATGTATTCACCCTAATGCGTTTTAGGTGATGAAGGACTGGTAGAAGAATTTTCCCACAATGATATGAGTAGAGCTGACGTTTCCACTGAATTTCACGTTGTCTTGCTTTCCTAAAAGTTGTTCTCATCCAGACAGAAGTGGACTGCAGTTTCGATCTCGCATCGGTCTTATCAACACCCCCAGCGGGAGTCGAACCGTG